ACGGTGCAACAAAGTCTGAAGAGGTCATCTGTGTCTCTAAAAATATTTTGAACGTCACATCCCAGCTGTAAAGGTTTAAAGAGAGCCCATCAGCTGTAGTCAGCTTCATTTAGCTTACAACAGATTGTACATTTTTTATGGTGGAAAAAAATCATCAAAACATCTATAGAAATGTTCTCAAACCACTCGTGCAATATTGCCAGATTATACGCTGTATTTATTTTTCAAATAATTATGATTTTCCACAATATGTCTGAATAGACTGCTTCTGTGTTTGGTTACTGCCCTTCTCGAAGCTACAAAGCTTTTGCCAAGTTATGCATTTAACCACATTTTGGCAAAAAGAAGATTCTTTAAAATAATGCTGGGAGAAGTGGTTTATGTGGGGCAGTGGTTTGAGAAGGCATTATAATAATTTATGTCAGCCATACAGACTTGTCACCATTGGCATCCATTGGAACGAATAACAATTTAACAGTCACGGCTCTGTTGCTGTGTTTAAAAAGCTTTAAAAAGCCCAGTAACAGAGGCCTGAGGCCAGACACTCAAAACATTTTAGATGAGGAGAATTAAATATAGGGTTTCGGGGTTATGATTTATATAAGTATCATATTGACAAATGACTCATACATTGTGAGACCAAACTCAGACTTCACATGTTATGGCGAAAAAACACAATACCTGCACACCATACCTGTGGTTTTAAATCTGTGTAAATATATAAAGGCTTTACTTTTTTCATTAATGCGGATTTCCACTAGCTGTGCATTTAAATTTGATGTGAGTATAACTGAGCTTCTCATAAAGCAAAAGTGTAAATATAACATCATTTTAAAAGTTTTCTTTTCTATTCTATATGATTATTTGAATCGTTGCCCAGACATTTTTGTAATCAACCATTGATTGGTACCAAAGCTGCTGCAAAATATGTTCAATTCCAACAAAGCTCATTGTACAAAAATCAGGACAAAAGAAAAAGCATTAGAGAGACAGGCAGGCAGATGTGCTTACTGAAGCCAAAACCATCTTTCCTTCAGGCTTGTACCTCTCACCCCGCTCAGTGATGCACTACAGCTGTGTCATGTGGCACAAGGAGTGAACTCCAGCGACTATTTCGTTGCACAATGTAGCTTCAGTGTGTATGGGGTATATGGAAGTATGTTCTGCATAAGCTCACAGATTCCTGAACGTCCAATGGGGCAAGGGGAGAGTTAAATATGGGAAACATCTGGACGGCTAGGGAGCAAAAACACACACACACGCACACGCACACACGCACACACACACACACACACACACACACACACACACTTTCAAAGACCCGCAAATACTCATATACACATGCCTTGTCTCCTTCAGATTACCTTGTTGTGCTCTCCACCCCCAACAGTGAAACATGACCACATAATTGATTCATCAATATACCTTGCATCGCCTTAACAGCTGAAAATGCACCTCTGTGGCGACCTTGACACCTTTAGAGACCCTACATTTACGGTAATACACACACTTTATCACTTACACACACTAAAGCACATGTGACATGCTTTGTGGCACACATACGTACACCGGTGTTGTAGGATTTCATGTACTGTAGGAAAGGCCCACTCTATATATAACAAAGCCTTGACTTCCTGCATGTGTCATCCATCCAAGAGCTAAATGGATTATTATTACATTCCGCACATACTCCTATGCGCACGCGCACACGCACACACACACACACACACACACACACACACACACACACACACACACACACACTGAGTTGGAAGCATGGGGAGTCACAGTGTGAGGAATGAGGGTCAAGGTAATGATCAGTAAACATTGCAAACCATCAATCAGTGTGAATTAAACCTGAGGAATAACAGTGGCAGCTTCTCGACAGGGAAAGGGATGTTTTATTGAAAAAGTGTGTGTGTTTGTGCTTTTGGGTGTAAAAACTCACCTCTGTCCCAGCCACCATTGGGTTCCCGAGGTCACACACCACCATTCTCGACTCATTGACCATCTTGTACTCGCAGTTCAGCTGAGACAGGGACTAGACAGGAGAAAAGAGAAGAGGAGAGAAAGACAAGTCAAGTTTATGAGATGATGAGTCAAAAGTGAATGAAAGCGGCAAATGGGGAGCATTGTAGAGTCAAGAGGGGAAATAAAAGAACAACAGAGGGACGGATAACAGCATCAAAGGGGGAAGGGAGCAAGAGGGTGGAAAAGAGATGGAGTGATGGGAGGGGGAAGGCATGAGAGGAAGAGTGATGAATACTCCGACACTAACAACCTCATCAATCAAACAGCCCCATTACACTCTCATTAGCGCACACACGGGCAAACACACACAGATATACACACACACACACACACACACACACACACACACACACACACACACACACTCTGCACACAAAGCAGTTGACCCTATCCATTTCCGTGGTCACTAATGCAGCTTGTAAATCAGAATAGGGGCTTTTGGGCTGTTGCCAGTAAAGCATAACCTGCTGATAGCCTCGCCTTAATCACTCGAAACAAACACACGCCACAGAGACACAACAGGATGTGATGTCATACTGTAACTGCAGCCTCAAAAACAGTGGTGGTTATAGACCAAATTGACTGGGGGCCTTTATTGAAAGGGAGCTTTATACTTTTCAATAATCAACACATCTTTAGAATATGATCACAACCAATGACAAATCACTTAAACTTGTTTAATCTTAACTTATGTTACCTAGTTAGCATTCTTTCTTTTTATTTATGCATATTTTACTAATCACTCCCCTTTTAAACTATTTTTTTTTTTTACTGTCCTATAGTACACATTGAAATGATGTCTTACTTTATTTTTTACAACTATATTAACTAGATAAAGGTGTGCTCTTTCTGTCTCGCTTGCTCACAGAGGCTGTGTGCTCCTCTGTGGCGAAGACGGCTTGCGCTCAAAAAGAATAATAAACATATTTGTAAAGTGGGGGAAACAGGATTTCGAAAAGTGGGGGGGACATGTCCCCCCTGTCCCCAGTGGAAATTACGCCAGGCGATCGACGTGTTGGAGACCCCTGCTCTAATGGGTCCGACTAGAATGACAAATATCGTTAGTTCCGCCTATTCCTTCAGGCAAGAAATCGTTTAATCATAAACTATTTTTATTTTCAGGGGGGCCACAGGGGGGTCCAAAGTCAGTGTTAGGGGGGCACTGACCCCCTGCCCTGCCTAGAACCGCCCCTGCTCAAATAGCAAACTCCCTCATTTCAAAGGACCACTTGGTAATCAATCATGATGAGACAGCTTCCTCTTTACTTTATGTCTATTAAAGTTTCCACTCCATTGGCTCTCAATATAAAAAAATGAGATTTAAGACAAATGTGTGTGTTGGTGTGTTTATTTATTTACCTCCACTCTACGCTCTACTCCAATATAGTCGGCCTCCGGTGGGATCAGTGTGTGGAGCTCTGTCTCATAGGCTCCCTCTCCTTGGTTCACTGCAGTGATGGTCAACATGACCAGATTATCGTCTCCAATCACCAGCTCTGAGCTGTCCCTGTGAGTGTGTTTTATAAAAAAAGGAGAGAAGAACACAGAGAAAGGGGTATTTTCAGTCATGTAAAAGACATAGAAAATAAAGCACTTTGGTGCAGATACATAAAAGAATGTTCAACTCTTGTCCCGAGTTTTAATTTCAAATTAAGTCTATAATTTTGTAGGACTGGACCTTATTGGTTCATGCTGTATGGAATGCAATACCCCTAACCCGGACAAACATGTGTGTGTGTGTGTGTGTGTGTGTGTGTGTGTGTGTGTGTGTGTGTGTGTGTGTGTGTGTGTGTGTGTGTGTGGGTGACAGGATGTTTGTATAACGGTGCCATGGAGATATCGTACAGCTGGAAACACTATAAAGAGAGTAGGCTAATTCACGTATGCACACAAACACCCTCACACACATACACACACATACCATATGGTAAATGGAACTATAATGTGAGCAACTTGAGTGTAAACTTTGCTCATTGTGTGAGGAGTTACAGGCATACTTTCTTAGTTTCTTAGGTGAGTGTGAAGTGTTGAGTGTTTACAGGTTGAGGTCAGAGGTGCTGGTGTCAGTCTTACATGCTGGCAGAGAGCTCCAGGTCGGGGACACAAATATTGTCGTCACCGCAGTCCAGGAGAATGTAAGCCTGAGGAGGAAGAGGGGCACAGAGAAGGGGATTGTCATGAGGAAATTGTTAAGGTACACTGGACATCATCATGAAGCCCAAAATAGTAACAAACCCACCAGGATGCAGGTGCTGTAAACATATAGACTCTTAACATGCAAAAAGGGTCAAAAGTCTTGGGTTAAGTTTGCACCGACTTAGCGCTGAGTTTCTTTTTTTTTAAGATTTTGTAATATTTTCTCCTTATTTCTCTATCGTTTCTCCACTGTTCTTAGTATTAAATCTAACATTCAAGTGGAAGGGAAAACATTGTCTTCTTCAAGAGACTAGCTTCTTTGATAATTATATCGTTTGGAGCTGCGCCAAAGCTGTTTTGTTGGCCCTTTCTTAATTTTTCATTGACTGACCTGCACCCGCCTGACATATATTGCCCTGCAGGGAAGTTTTGATTTATTTATAGTTACGTTTGTGAATGATGAACTTTCGCTTGGAAAGAATGTCTATGTTTACAGGCTTGACCATCTGATCTTTCCTGTGAACAGGTAAGGTTGAGCTTGAAAGGTAAAACAGATGATGTGTGTGTGCCTGTCTGAGACAAGCATTTTAAAGAACGAGTGACTTAAATATAACCTCAAGTCCTAAATGTGGCAGTATGTGCTCAGAATTGGGCTTCAAGTCAATTCGGTCTTATTTATTCAGCCCAATATAATAAATCACAAACTTGCCTCAAGGGGCTTTACAATCTATCCAGCATATGACACCTTTCAACCTAAGAAACCCAATTTTGAATATGGAAAAACTCCACAAAAAGGAAACAATTTAACTGGGGGAAAAATAAGAAAGATCAGAAAGAGCAACAGAGGAGGGACCCTTTTCCATGATGGACAAACATGGAATTGAAGGAAACAAAATAGCCAAATCCCAAAATGGAAAATCTGAACAATACTAAACCTTATATATATGTAGGTAAGATATTATGCTTATACTGTATATATCCACTCACATGCTCTTGAAGGAAGGTGCTGCTGTAATGGTTGAGGACAGGCGGGAGGTTTTGGCCATGAGATGGGGGGGCCAAGCTGTAGTTCAGAGCCAGTGAGATCGGGGTCAATTTGTCCCTGAAATCTTCCTCCTCCTAAGAAAGCATAAGAAAGAGGTGAAAATATGAAGTAAGTCAACCTTGTTTAGTTTTACGAACAGAACAGAAATGTGAAATGTGAATACACAGAATTACACAAAAGCTATTACATATGTTTGTGCAGTGTGTGATTTGCTCACTCTCAGGTACATGGTGTAGCTCAGGCATGAACGTGGGCGGTTGTGTCCCAATTTCAGGAGCCCTGTGCGCTGAGGCTGCTGCGTGTCCAGGAACAAAACTCTCTTAACTCCGCCTCTGTTGCCTTTCAACCAGTCCAGCTGCAGCTCTGCTCTCAGGTCTGGAACAGGAAGTAATGATAAAGAGGTGAAGACGGATGGAGAGGTGAGAGAAAAGCATTGACATTGAGTGTGAAATAGGCGATCCAGAAACTCCTTAACTGTTGAATCCACACGCTTGTTCGCTTTAAATGTACATTACATCCCATTAGTTATGAAGTAAGGCACCATGGAGGGGCTCTACTCTACAGGGCATCATTAGAAAGTGGAAACAGTACTTTACACCTCCGCTGTCTACCCTATTCTTGTTTCCACTCTTTGTTCTCCACTATGATCGGCGCGGCAGAGCTGCAGTTTCACAGCAGGAAACTCTTATGAGAGATACATTGGATACATTAGCTCTGACTGCTGTCCCTCCCTCTGTGCTTTTCTCTTTTCCCTCCCTCTGTCATTCGCCCACACAGTGCACAGCTGCTTACCTACAGAGCTGGGGATCCCCACTCCGCTCACTGCTGCACACACTTCCACCTTCAGACTGCAGGAAAGTCATTTTATGAAGATAAAGAGACAGACAAGAGAGAGGGAGAAGATTGTGATTACTGTTAGCATGATAAACCAATTATTAACACTCTTGCTGTCTTTTGACGCACATCCACAGTGGTGCCAACGTTTAAAAGTCAAATTACTATTGGGACCTTTTATCGTAGAACATTTAACATGGTATTATTGCAGACATAATACTTCCTTCATATTTGCATACATCACAAAGTTAGAAAAAAAATATCTATACCACTAAATGAACTTATTCCTGACTGTGCTCCAGGGGACAGTGAAATACCACGCTGAGGTCCCTGTGAGGCCCTCAATTAGACATGGGAGACTGGGAAACATTTCTGCATTTCCTCTATTTCAGTGTGTATTAATATATGTGTAACGTGAATGTGTGTGTGTCTTATCGCCCCTTTAATCAAGAACAGGAAAGAGACTCCCACACAGGGAGCTGAGCGCTGTTAATATGCACTAATCTGAGGAAGCTTACAGACGCAATGCTCCTGATTCTGAAGACTAAGCATAATGAGGCACGAGGGGAAATGACTTCATGTGAATATTGTCTGTTTGGGTTTACTCCACAAACCCCAACATCCAAAAGCAGATGTAATGGATGCGTGTGTGTTTGTTAATAATTATCTCGCTGAGATGACACAATCATGATGAGCTAGTTTCCCTGCGTTCTCAATATGTGATGCAGCTGTGAGTTTATGCGTGCGATAAAATACATGTTTCTATTTTAAAAATTGCTCCCCTAAGTCATTTTGACTTCTCCAGGTGGTTTCATGTGTATTTAATAGGTGTTGCATGTAAGCATGTGAGTGTTTTTTTAGGGTAGTGTGCTCAAGTGTGACTCTAATAAGCAGTGTGTTTCAAACCTAAGTGTATGCAGCACGGAAATGACCCCCATTTTACAGACAACAACTCTGTAGCTTGGGTTAGTCATTACAGTATGTAATTTTCCCCAAAATGCATCTGTGCTCCACCCCGCTATCCGGCCCTGCCTGCAAACAGGCACAATAAATCCCTTCCCCGACTTCCCCGGGTCCACTTAATGAGTAAGGAGGTTCAATTTAACACTGGTCATTAAGTACCCGCCCCTCGTTTTCCACCACTCTTTAATCCTTCTAGCCACAGTGTGTACCTCTCATGTATCACCATTACATTCGAGTCAAATGGTAAAAGCATGTGATTTTCGGAAAAGTTATTTCCTTAACATCTTTCGAAAATGAGGAAAATCTTTGCTTTTGGCCTCTAGAGTTCCAGAGCAACAGTAACATTCATTGTGGTTAGGTTTTTCTACATACAATGGATTTTAGTTTACGAATCACTCTCTTTCAGCTCTGTATTTGATCTCCTCTAACTCCTGGGGAAAACGTCCTGTTCTTTAGTTGCAAAATACTTCACTATGTTCACCAGCTAGTCTCTGACTTTATCTGTATACAGGTATAGGCTAGAGTTAGATCTGAGAGATTATTGACAACAGCTGCCTCCTGCATGAGTGATGTACGAAACAGTAACTTGACTAGCTGGGAGGAGTGATGACTTGGTGGTTTATCTCTATGAGCAAGCCCTTTTTATATACAAGTAAAGTAGTTGTACACTGTTAATAAACAAATATTGGTTGCCAAAAATTTGAGTTTGTATGACACTACTGTATTAAACACGTGCAAGATACTGTACATTCATATTTTCCATAGGGTTAGTGATCATAAGTAAAATACTTAACAAATATGCAGTGGATAATTTATTTCCAGATGTTTTGAAGGGTCTTTTGGAAATACCATTTTAACTGACCACCTGGGTTTTAAAAATATTGCAATTATTTCCCCCAAAAATGTGATACTTAACCCTGTGACTCAGATGTAATGGTAATACATGAGCGGTGCGAACTGGACCTGACCTCCCGCCGTGGTTTCTCCAGCTCTAACCGCAGGCCAGGGAAACAAATACAAAATCTGAAACACAAGAGCCTCAGACATCCCTTAATTCCACTTACTGCTGTTTGACTCTCTGCATGTGTGTCTATGTTCCATGTCCTATCTGACTCCATAGCTGCGACCAAATCTTTACGGCAGTTTATTTAAATAAGCTGAGTTATGTTTTGATAGAATTCCACAGTTTAGTTCTTTCTGTCAATCCGGCCAAAACCCTGTTCCCGTTTCGCTCGCTGCCAACCCTCACAGACCACTACACACACACACAAGACACACACACACAGATACCATGATGGCAACTAGCCGAGCACACTTCTCCCCTCCAAAGAGTCCTACAGCGGTTTCAGCCCCAATAAGTTTGAAGCAACAATAGACTGTGGCGAGGCAGCAGGAGCCTTTGGGCCCGTTCCCCTCAACTAGACTCACCCCCAGACTGTTCAAAGCCACTCGCTACCCACAGGAACAATAACGTAATCAAAATAGAATTATGCCGTATTAAATTAATAGCAGGGTCTCATAAATCAGCAATTCCAGGTTATATGAGTGCGCTTCTACATTTTTGCATAATACTCGCAGTCACTGATCATTGTTGATGGCAGACGTCTAAAGCACAGGGGTGAAATATTTGTCACATCTGTCAGTATGATTTGTGAAGGTGTATACTTTATACTGCATAGCGTTTTATGAAACAGTATAAGCAGTACGATTTGTGTTACTGCTCAGGGGATCAGAGCAGCGTGGGCCTCATTAGTCTTCTTTAAGACTTTGAACCCTTTAACTGTAGAGATTTGAGTAAACTCAAATACTATACTGTATTGACTTTGAGTGTGGCGTTGATGGACGCTATTGCCCCCCCACGATTTCATTCCCAAAAGAGATGGAGGATAGTCTACACACACAGCTGAAAGAATTACAGCAATATTGAGGTGTTTGGTAAAGAGTGAGGAGAAGATTATATAAAAGAAACATCTATTATAAAGTCTTATAATTGTCAGTTGGGTTAGGGATAGTATCATGCAGTACATTATTCTTGTGTGTGTGTGTGTGTGTGTGTGTGTGTGTGTGTGTGTGTGTGTGTGTGTGTGTGTGTGTGTGTGTGTGTGTGTGTGTGTGTGTGAATATTAAAGAGGGTTTCATTCCTCCGATTCTATTCTATTCGATAAATGTTGTGTATTTAGATAATAATGGTTCTTAGAGACTTCCTACATGCTCTTCTTACCAGGTAACCATGATGTCTGTTTCAGGCAGGTGACACTGTCGGTCATCGGGGTTCAGGATTCTTGGAGTCAAGATCATTTCGGCTTCCACAGACACCACAGCTTGAGACCTATTCACCAACACACACACACACACACACACACACACACACACACACACACACACACACACACACACACACACACACACACACACACACACACACACACACACACACACACTAATGTAGCCTTGACTTTCTGATATCACCAGCATTTTCTTTATTTTCCTTTTACACATGACCCAGCCAAGACTAAATTCATAAACACAACATGCGTTAGTGATTGTGGGTTCATGTGTGTGTTCATATGTGTGTGTGTGTGTGTGCTGCGAGACAGGGACCCCATGCTGCATTCCAGCGCCATTAGAAAGTTCACATCGCTCCAATCACATTTCGCTAAGCAACAACATTTCCAAACAGCTCCTAATTGTAAGCAGCAACAGATCTCATCTATATGTGATTTGTATTTGTTTTTCATGGTTTTTGTGATGAACACACATTTTCGATTGGCTCTCATCAGTTTAAAATAAAGCTTTGTATTTAATGGCTGCGGTTAGGGGACACATACCATTGAAAGCCGCACACTCACATAGAAACAGACAGGCACACAAACGAGTGCTGATTAAAACAATGTGAAACTGAAGAGAGGCACTTAATGGATTCAAGCCACCACTGCCAGATGCAGCAAAACGTGTGTGATCATGAGAAAGACAGAATAAACTCATGCTGCCCAGTGAAAAGCAACTGCGGCTGCAGCTTATGTTACGTTTAATTAAATAATTTCTTTATTTTGTATTCATTAAGGGTTTGACCTATTACATTACAAAAAAAAATGAAAATAAAGGCAATAAATGATCCAAAAATGTATTCACAGAAACATAAAACTTTGAAACACATCATATGCTGTACTCTTATTTGAGAAGCAACTGACTATCAGCGCCTATCAGCGGTGAGTGCTGTGTTAACCGGGTTGCAGGCAGTATTGGACTAAGCTGCTGGAAGTGCACTCTTGTAGTGATTGCTTGTCATTTGCTGTGTCTTTCCTCTCCTGAGTATTTCAGAAGAAAGGGACTAATTGAATCTGAGAGAGGCACATCTGTTTCTGCCTTTGGCTGCAGTCACTGAGTCCCCCTGAAACCACAACATTAAACATTTAGGCCCTGTCCTTCTTCCCCTGGGGTTCGCTATGAGTGTGTGGCTCTCTGTGTGTACTGTATCGAAAATCCTGCACCGAGAAAGGACCTCAAGATGTGGATTTTTGTGGGGCAGTTGGAGAGGTACGGAAAAGGGGGAAAAAGAGTTCAGGAGGAGGAAGAGGGGGGAGTGATAGAAAGAACAGGGAGGGCAAAGGATAGTGCATTAGGCCCTAAACCGCAATCTGTGAAAGCCATCAGAAGCAAGGTGTGTTTTAGCAGAGCGAGAGAAAGAGAGGACTGCAGTCCCAGTCCGAATTCCTCTGTCCATCCTGCTGCTGGAGTTTTATAACCTGGAATCCAACCCCACTGCCATGTGTTGGGGTTTTTGATACAGTAGTTGTCTGTTCTCCTTATCGTCACTCTTTGGTTTGCTTTCAAAACCACTATATGACATGAGACTGATATGTGGAGAGGGCACCTTTGGGGTTAAGTGTGTGTAAGAGTGTGAGTGCGCGCATGGCTGCTCCAAATGGCTAAATCAAATAACGTCCCACTTTCCTTTCCCTGTCAATCCCATTTCCTTAAGTACAGGAAAGCTCGCCTGCCACTGTTGGTTTGAGGTGAGCGTGTATAGAGACGCACCGAACCACCAACGCACAAATGGGCTGATACACCAGTGTGTGCACTCTCATATACACTCCACTCATTGGTGGCAGGTATTGTCTGTAACTGAGCTGCTTGGGTGGATGGTGTCTGTCCTGGGCTGTGAAAACACAATCTCCAACCAGAGTTTAGACAGACTGTCAAGCTGTCACTGGCTGCCTGCCCTCACGGCCCGTTTGTCTGCAGGGGACTGGCCTCCATGATGAGATGCCAAAGGTCAATGGCACTCAGTGGAAAATGAGGCGGCTTGAGAAATAGAGGATATCTTAATTCTTGGATACATGTGTGTGATTTTAAAGCTTTGGTAACTTGCCAGCTACAATAAACATTGTAGACACTTTTTGGCCTGGAAGTACATATTTCACACTAAAGACAGGGGTAGTCAGCCGTTCCTAATTGGGGAGGAATTGATTTGGTGCATAACATTGAGGTTTGATTATTTAACTTTGCACCAATTTAACTTTTTAATAAAAGAAAAAACGATATGCCTGAGTAAACAAGAAGTGGCATAAAAAGGTAACATAATGTATAGAGTATTGCTCAAAGAATGTAATGAAATGTAATCTAAATGTCCCTTTTAAGATGAAAAGGCAAACTACAAAAGATGGTCACTAAATATATGAGTAGACACGGAGCCTAATAATAAATTAAACACCTATTTAGCGATCTAATGACCCACCTAATGACCCCTCGCCACCACACACATGCAAATCCTCGACCCAGACATGTTTCTGTGCCTGTAACTCTCTATGCAAGTTGTGTGATTGACAGGTAAAACATTGTCAGTTTTTGACCTCATGGTTGAACCTGAAACGCACCCGTAGGCAATCTGACCCCCTTCTTATACACAGCTGATCCCCACCTTAACTCCAGCCTTTAGCCTGAGCATTAGTCTGCCTATTGGCCTCCATTGCAACAGTGAAACATCAACTCTGTGTCATGCTCGCCACCAAAGTTATCTGTAGTTTAATGAAGCCCTATCATGTGCAGTTGAGTTTAACAGTGGCTGACTTTTTTATTGCTTTTCTGCCTTCTTTGTCATCTCGTGCCTCTTCCTGCTTTCATTTCCTACTGTAAGCTTTAAATAAATACACAAGAATGTGACATAATCTTGTAGAAAACAAAACCACCAAAGCTAAAAGTGGAGTTTAATCATCCTCCTTTCCTCTCTCTGTGTTCTTGCAATAGACTAATAACATGTAACCTCTACAGGAGCATATGGCATCTTTAGCAGGCCTTCCAGACGCCTGAGCAGTCCTCTCATAATACTGATCAAACATCTCGGCTCCTTTGAACAGTGTGACTTTACTACTTTGCTAACGACACTCGTCTGTGTGTGTGTGTGTGTGTGTGTGTGTGTGTGTGTGTGTGTGTGTGTGTGTGTGTGTGTGTGTGTGTGTGTGTGTGTGTGTGTGTGTGTTTCACTTCCGCCAGCCAGCTCTCTAATGACAGACGACACAAGTGCTGCATGTCTGTGTGTGTGCATGTTTATTTGGTGTGTGTTGGCAGAAAGCTATGCCACCCGTGAGTTTCTACTCCACCAGCCTTGGTTTCAACCTGCTGCCCCTTTGTGTGTATTAACTGTACAATGTTTTTAATCCGGGAACTCTGATTTGCTGTAGGTCTGCACAAGGTCTCGCTTTGACCCGGAGCCTGGCAAACGCTCAACATACACTCTCTAGCTGCCAGTGAAACTGATCAAAGCCACACATGTGAACTTGTGTGTACTCCTGTGTGTGTATTTCCCTTGATATCCTGTTTGTGGAATGAAGAAATCTGTTATAATAGCAAAATGAAAAGAAAAAAGGGAGTGGGGGCAAAGAAAAGAAAAGGTAAAACTAAACAAATTCTCATTTTCAGGCTAATTTGTGGAAGCACAAAGCCAGAGTAGTGCTGGGAGCAGAGTGGCTCTAAATTAGGGAGAAAATTAGGTAGTAAAACTGTGGTTTTACAGGCCGGCTTTGTTTAAAATGGACATTTTCTGTTCTAAAAACTCTAGTATATAAACAGCTTTGCACTTCTCCCCTCCTTTGCAGCTTTCTTAGGATCGTAGTGAGGTTTTTAAAGATATTTCTAAGGTCAGAAGGTGGAGGCGTCTGGTAAAGTAAGTAGGTGGCAGTTGTCTGAATGTAATTTGATTGAATGCTGTATTGTCTGCTCATAGTTTAGGGATATGGGTTGAGGCTTGAATGTCTGGCAGACTGAACATGCGGATAATGTATTATTATGCTTCTTTCTTTCTCGCTCTCTCAATCTTGTGTTTTCTCTCCTTCTTGAGTACTGTAAATCCCTAAAGAATTGATGCGGCAGCAGTTCATTGGCACTCTTTCCTTTACCCCCTACTTCTGACTGATGACTTTAACAGAGAGGAGAAGAAAAGCAAAGCTGGAAAACATGGGAATGGTAGGTAGGAGTACATTGGGGGGGAAGCATGAAATGTGTAGGTCAAGATTGAAGAGGAGGGAGGCTGTAATGAGAGGAGCTGCAAGGAAAGTGGAAAAGTAAAAGAATGCAAGCTTGAGGAAGAATTTTGACTGTAACATGGGGAATTGAGTGGAGACACACTGACTCGCGAGTGTGAGTATTTACCAGGATACTGATTGCTGTCCAGGTCCTGGCCTCCTCTCAGAGTGAATCCATATCCAGGCAAGCTGCCACTGGGGGTCCCGGCCGCTTTCAGCTCTTGGCTCAGCGTCAGGCCTTGCGTGACCACGTCTCTGTTACCGTTGAAGATCAATACTCTGCCTCCACGGTCCTCTCCTCCGAACGGACAGCCCACTGCCACGTCTAAGGGATGACACAAACACGTATGGTTTAGACATCAGCAGGGATAATGCCCCCCTGAGACAGAAGCAGAGGAAAACATGCAGGTAGAAGGAAAAGAGCTTGACCGTCCTTTACCTGCACTGGGGGATTACTGTATGTCAGCATGGTCATTTACCTCTTCTGTTATTTCCATTTATTTTACTTATCTTAAAATCTTGTTTATATCTTTTTCTGTCTGGGTACTGTTTGAGTCTGAGCTAAATGTTAACATCAGCATGCTAACTGGCTCACAACTTACTTTGTGTTCAGGATTAAACAATGCAGATATAGTATAATTAATTAGCAAGCTTTAGAGAGGCTGAAATGCATTTATTTAAATGTAAGTCCCTAGAGAAAGCCAGGCTATCTGTTTCCACCTGCATCCGGTCTGTGAGTTTAGCTAATGTCTCCCGGCTCTACCTCAAAACTTGCCAAACAGATATGAGGGTGGTATCAATCTTCTCATCATTAACATACTTCAAGCACCTGTCCTTATATGAAAACTGTATGATTATTCTAGCATACTCTTGATGTCCAGATATTGCACTGTCCTGTATAAAAGTGACCCTCAGTACTGTAACTGTCCATACACCTCTAGACATCCTGTTTGTCTCCGGACCCCCTCTCTCTCTCAGCCTAAACAACTAGTTCCACATGAAGCAGATTGTGGGGTAGTGAGGATAAATGCAACCATGTGTGTGTGCAAGTGTATATATGAGCCTGTGCGTGCGCACGTCTGTGTGTCTATGCGTGGGGATGTGTACATAACTGAATAGCTGTGCAAAAAAACATCTTACTTTAAGAAAAAAGTCTTCAAATAATGTGAAAGTCGCTTATGGGCATCGCTCAACAACTTCCCACACAATGCAGACATCCACAGCAAAACAGCAGAACACCCACTGTGATCACTGAGACCAAAACTATAGTAGATTGTCTCGCTCAGAGGGGAACAGGCTGACACTTTGTGAGCAATGCAGACAGCCTGAGAGGATCGATCAAAAAATATATTAAAAACAAAAAGAGCCAGATGGCAACTTGAATTAGTTCAATTGTAACGTTTCTTTCTACAGCTGACATTGATGAAGCGATGAAGATGAGAGGAAATGGGTCTGGTTCTGCTTTTATGACAACATTTGAAAAGGAGTGATGAGGTCTCTGTTATGTGCAAAGCAAGAGGCTCAGTGTCATCACAGACAGAAATGGTATCTGTCAGTGATTATGCAAACGAGGGCACAGGTAAACCCTGCTGAAAACCCTGGTCGCAATGTTTCTATGGTGACGCCATAACATAATGCTGAATAATTAAATAATTCCCAGACATGGACTCATTAGATTAACTCTCAACAAGTCTTCTCTCTACATGTCACATCAGCCCGCTCCATCTCCTCCTCAGAGACGGTCACATCCAGACAGACAGCCTGATGTGATTTACAGTCTGTTACAGGACAGAGAAAGCTTCAGTATTGATCCAATGGTTATTGATCTGATGGTTAAAGCATTTAAAAGGGTGGGACACACATTAACGCAGGCTGTCTATGAATGAATAAAACATAAATCAGCGGGATTGATGTCATATGAAGCCAAGATGTGCACCAGTTCATTTATTTTGAAAGCAGCATTAAACATGCTTTGGCTTTATGGAGCATTTGGTCAGCAGGCGGACTAGTTTGTGTGTGTGTGTGTGTGTGTGTGTGTGTGTGTGTGTGTGTGTGTGTGTGTGTGTGTGTGTGTGTGTGTGTGTCTTTGTTCAATGAATGTGAGGATAAAACAAACACATTGAAGAGGAATGAACACTGGGCTGCAGGACAGAAATTCCCAAATGATTTTATCTTAGGTCACATCTGGTGAGTTAAAAATAACTCCAATCCACACACACTCTTACACACACATGGCCTTATCCATGATCATCACAGGAGGAAACAAGTTCACGCAGACAACCTTTCATCGCCGCACTTCCTGATTGGCTGAAGAGCTTAAAGCCTTCTCAAGCAGCAGCATATGATAGGATTTCCTCCGTCCGAGACAAAACAGACCGAGAGGCACAGGAAACACATAAAAAGATTTGTCTGTCATCGAGAAACGGCAGATGGACATAGGCAGACAAAGACAAGGGAAAGAGGTTCATGCACTCACACAAAATAAATGAAAAGGATTCTGTTTAATTTCCCACCTCCTTCTCATTTTTCTTTGTGTTATCGCTCTCATCTTGTATATTTATTTAGATGAACTTCATCTGGCTCAATTTCCTTTTTATCTCGTCTTTCCCTTTTCTTCTCTGTCTCTATCTGGCTTTCATCCTCTCAACATACCATTGTATCCATCCTGGTTGACATCTCCTAGCGGTGCTATAGCCGTGCCAAATCGCCCAAAGGTGTGCATGCCGGTGAGGGGAACAGGTTTGGAGAAAGTGAGTGGGGCCATCTGCAGGTACAGGTAGACCCTCCCCACCTCTCTGGGCTTGCTCTCCATCTCCCTCTCCATGTAGAGGGGCGCCCCAACCAGCACATCGTCGGTCCTGGGAGCATAAACTGAAGTGTCAATGGTTCTATAGATAAAAGAGAGTATGTGTCTAGGGTGACAAAGACATGTTCTACCTACCCATCTCCATTAAGGTCAGTGACAGCCACTGAGTAACCAAAATAGGAGGCCATCTGAGAAATGGACAAGGAAGGGGCATAATTATTTTGTAAAACCAATCTGGTTACATTACTTTATTTAAATGTATGTTCATGCCCATTCAAAATGAATGAACACCCATATCAGCAGTTTACATGCAGCCCTGCAATATGGCATAAAGTGATGCTCCTACAGTACCTGTTCCCCTGTGAAGTTCTGGATGAAGGTCAGATTGGTGGAGTTGATCATGACAACCTAAAAAAAAACAATAGACTGTCAGAAACAATACAGAGGGATAATGAAACACCAGAGTTTTCCTTGAAGCACTTAAAGAGCAAACATGGCCAAGCAGTCTGACAAACAGGCACATGAAGAATGCAAAAAAAAGAGTCCTATTTTATTCTACTGAAACCTCTTTTCTTTTTTTCCCAGCCCTCCCCCACCGTCATCATCTTTGTGCCTTTACCATTTCCCCCCCTCATCTTTCCCTCTTTCCCCCCCCATTTTAACCCCGGTCGATGGAGAGACGGAGGGGGGAGGCTGAGAATTCCTTCATAAGACCTAAAATAACAACCACATGGGGACAGCCGGGGGCTACACGTACACACACAGGAGGACACACGTTGGAGGACCCAATCACAGATTTCTCAAACACATACTAAACCAGGATAGGCTTACGAACACAGACAGATGAGGATGTGTAAACACAAATATTAAAACACCAGCTCAAACGTTAACTTTCATGCAATCTGTTTTGTCAGATTGTTCATAGAGGAAACCTGATCAGAGTTGACAGCCACTTCAGTGCCAGGCCTCAAATATGGCCGCCCTGCATCTCTCATAATGCTCCCCCTACTGTGAGCTGCAAGCCCCCTCCTCCATGACACCTACAGTGCACTGTCTGTACAGGAAGGAGCACAATCGCACCACAATGTCCAGACATAAAACACACTCTTGCAAAGTGTGTGTGTGTGTGTGTGTGCTGTGTAAAGAGTTGCACTGCAGGTTAGGGTTAAGGGTCGTTTTTGTGTGGAGAAGGGTTAGTGGGGTTAGGTGGGGTCACCACCCTCCACATGCAGCGGAAGCTGTGCGTCATTAGGGAGGATTGACACTCTCAGCCCTGGGGACATGTTCCCATAAGAGAACACGAGACACACCACAGTCTACATGGACACACATACAGTATGTCTCGCAGCTATGCAGATAATTCATATATATCTATGAGCACATTAAACATTGGAATCCTATATGAAACACTGAAAGCAGATGCATCTAGAATACTTTATTGTCTGAATGTGTGCCTTCTGTATTTCTTTAAATATTTTTTTTAATGAGTCAGGCACAATGAATTTACATTTATACAGTTTTTTTTCCCCTTTCCCCCCCTCCCGGTCCTAGCTAGTAAATTAAATACATTTAACTAAATAAATAGATACACGTATAGGTAAAAGTAAAGTAATGTAGAAGATAATATTAAAAGAAAATTAATAGATAAGGAAATAAAGAATAGTAACAGTAATACATGTACCCATATACTCACATATGTATACCCACATATACACATACACATACGTGTGTACATACTCACACACATGTACACATGCACATACATACACGTACATACATACATGTATACAAAGACACTGTATTTCTTATCTCACTCAGGTCATAGACTGCCACACATCATTTAAGAAATGTCAAGTTTAAATAGCATACAGATGGCGGGGGGGGGGGCGAAACAGAAGTCAGATACTAAACAATGCTTGGCATGGAGTCTACAAAGCTCTGGACAAATTCTGAAGGCATAAACAACATCCTTCCAAAATAAATTCCCTAATTAGCTGCCTTGATGATGGTGGTGGTGGAGATAAGTCGGACACAGCTAAATCTCCCATAAGTTTTCCACTGGGCTGATATCAGGGGGCTGCGAAGGCTATATATGATTCACATAATTATTATATTCAATACTAGTATTTGTGTACTATAATGCAACGAATGTCAACTGTATGTAAGAACGGTTGCTGCTGGAATACCAAACTAACTTCTTTCTTTCTGGGTTTGCTTGTCAGTTCATACTTACATATCCAAAGTTCTGTGCTCCTCTTGGGACTCCGGCTAGCACTTCTGAGAAACACAGAAACAAATAAAGACGTAAATTAGCATTTTAATGTGTGAGAAAGACTTATAGAGGTTTTTGTCAAAGGCCTGAACCCTCAAATCCCCTACCCAGCCCATCATGTCAGAAGGGCAAAGTGCTGCTGAGTGATTGGGTGCTCTGTGCTTGTGTATTGATTGATGAGTGTGGAGCTGTGGACTTATAGGGACGATCTAAGGGACCCACCCAGAGAGAGAAGACAGGGTCCCCCCTTTCCTGCCCTCCAGCTCTACCCAATAAGCTCAACCTCAAGTCTATAAACCAGAACTTCCCAGCACCATCTTCACTCAGAAGTCCCAGTTAAGACCAGTTCCCCAGTCTGAAGGGGGTTTGGCAAACAAGACCACAACAAGTTTCGTACCACAACACATCACATCAACGGGCATGTGTAACCTCTTAAGGCTCACTTTAAGACCCCCTGACATGTGTTATGCCGGAGGGGGTTCATATGTGGGGTTGGTATGGGGGTATGTAAACGCAAGTTGTCCCTTAAAGAGCCCACTAAATGGTGATTATCAAAGAGGCTCTGATAGACAGGAAATTATGAATGGGAAGCTGGAGTGGCGTTTGGGAGAGGAGGGTCTCATGTGTGTGACAGAGCTACAGAACAGTAAGTGTGTGGTGACAGTGTTTGAAGAAAAAGCAATAAAGAAAATAGTTTAAATAGTTTAAAAAACTGATGTAGCGTGACTGCGGTTGGACACATTTGATATTTTTCTTTAATAAAAGAGCTGAATCTTTTGTTTTGATTCATTTGTGGTGCTGAAAAATGGATGGCAAGTCACCAGAGTGTATAGCGGAACAAATAAAACGACTTGTACATTTCTTGTCATCATAACTTTTAATATTTATTTTGGCAAAAATAACCCTATGCAGTTTTCCCATCCTGCACATCTTTCATAAAGAAATCCTGTGTGTGCGTGCCTGTCTCTCATCCCACTCAATATTTCAAGCCCAGAAGAGATTCTGGACTCACTCTAGACCTGAAGAGGTCTGCCACTAATCATTCTAATCAGTCAAAATAGAGGAGAGGAAATCCCTTTATCAGCAGTTCCTTAAGTCCTGTCCCCTTAGGGTCACGACCCAGACATACAGAGACGGTTTTCATTACTGCCTCTGAGTTCAGACCAAGACACTGTCACCCAGCTGTCCACTCCCTATCCCTCACCCTGTAGCACCCCTCTCAGTGGTCCTGGCGCTCGGCCATAGAGAGCTTTAACAAAGTGTTGATGCTTTCAGACGTTGCATCAGGGTGCCTGCTGATGTTCTAAGTGAGGGATTCATCTGGTGCAGCATGTGGTTAGTTGTAATGAATTGTTGGCTTTCTCACCTTGTTCAGAGTCTCCTGTAAACTCCCCCACTGCCACAGAGTAACCTAGAGAGAAATTGGTTGCACATGATGACACACAGCCTTGGTGAAAACCCAGTCTGCAATGCTCTGTGTAAACTGTGTGTGTAATGCAATGTGTGAAAGCTATTCAGATGAAAACGGTTTGTGTGTGTTTGTTTTGTAAATGCATGTTACCGAGGTAGCTGTCGTCGTGTGTGTCTTCAGCAGCTCGAGTGTGTTTCTCTCCTGGAACCCGTCTCAGCACTGCTTTCAGAGAGTAGCCGTTCAGTATCTCGGCTATCCCCGCTGTCATTACCTGACCTGCACAAACACACACACACAGAGATAAATAGATAAAGAAAAACAAACACTCAGTGTGAGAGTTGGGTGAGGGAAAAATAAGGGGTGAGGGTCACATCTGTTCACGGCCAGTGGTTTCAGCCCGGAGCACCGCTGCCCTTTGCTAAAGAAACATAGAAACCTGCTGCATGGAGCTAACGACACATGCAAGTCTTCCCTGAGGAGAGCTAAAACACATCGTTGGCTGAGGAAAAGCTGGAAGATCCTACTTTGTTTCTCTTAAAGGAAAACGCCTGTCCTCTCCTCAGCAGGGATTCTGAATTATAGTTGAGCACGCACAAACAACAATCTTCCTCTGCTGTTGAACAAGAGGTCAAACAAACAAATGATTTGTATCTACGGCTGCTCTGAACCTTCCATAAATCCTCCTTAAAGTGTGAGCGCATGTGCACCGACAGGGAGGCAATGTGCCCTCTTAACCCTCCCTCCGACTCTTCTTTCACCACCCTCCCTTTTCTTATCCCTCACCCTTCACTATAGGTTTATCTCCCAGAATAACACATCACTATATCAACTCATTATTAAACCTCTATCTGATTGATGAGACACCGTGTTACAAACTGTTAACACATAAGTCATTGCAGCTCATTTGAAGTGGCCTTTTTATCCAGAGATAACAAGAATGTATATAGAAGGGTTGAGTTTTTTATTAAGATGACTCAGGCTGAAGGCTGAAGATAATCGTTGTATATTAGAGCCCATAAAATCCAGGCTGAGTGCTTTTATAAACATTCGGAGGAAATGTTTTAACTGGAGGCAGCCAGCCTTACCACGCTGAGGGCAGAGAGAGGGAGCAGTCCATTAGACTGTCTGTGATGCCTGCCAGTGCAGACTTATATGCTGGACATTTATTATTTAACCATATGAAATAAAAGCAGCGATGCCAAACAACAACCCAAAACAATAACAACATAATAATTGTATAGCAGTTTTTAAACATCCATCACTGAGTGGTCAATATCTAGCGAGAGCTTTTACTTTTTTCGAAACAAATGAAGAGCTGTTACGTGACGGATAGGGAGTTGAAAAGAAAGGAAAGAGAAATTAGTGCAACTCATAAGTCATTGTCTCTCTTCTCCCTGCGAACATCTGCAAAACTCCTCTAACACACACACTGTCACACACCTGGAGTTGTGGGAGTAGCGCCACACTTCAGCAGCTGAACTCTGACACAATCTTGCTGTGTCTACACCTATTAAGAAGTGTCACCCCTCTACTCTACGATCTCTGCGTATTGAGCAGAAGACCCATCTGTCTTCTTCTCTCTCTCTGTGTCTGACCGCTCAAGTCTCATCTTTCTCTCCCTGCAGCAACTTGTTTCTGTCATCTCCTTAACAATCATCTAACGCTCGCGCTGTCCTCCCTGCTCTTTCTACTCTATCAGTCTTTAAATTCTCCCCTGTCCTTCTCACCCCTACAGCCTCTTCCTCTCATTTAAAGTGTTTCAAGTCTCTCTGCACTTTATCATGGGGCAGAGGGGCAGTACCTCCACACTCCATTACCCCCCGATCAGCTCATTATGGAACCCAAACACCCATTTCCTGTTACACTGTTACAGAAGGCGACATGGAGAAAAGGAACGACCGAAGGAAAAAGTTAAGGAGAGCCGTGAGGAAAAAGAGACACAGTTCTTTCACCTTTTCCTATGTAAGACTCCTGTAATGGAATTGCAGATTTGGCAAGTGTGTCTGAGCGCATGTGTGTATATGTGGGCTGTTCTGACTGTTAAACTCATCTCCATTATTTTTCTCTCATTTGATCACTTTCCCATTTATGAAATCATTGCAAGAAAGAAACCAAACACAGGCTTAGACACTGTGGCTGCAGTTACCTTGCCAGTAAAAGCTCCCAGGTCCTCCTACCACCAGCATTCCTTCCTGGAATAAATACAATTAGTGAGGGTTAGTCATGTGACATATGTTTGCGTCTGTTTCAAACTAGAGGGGGAAAGAACTTGTGTAGATGTGTGTGCATGCACATTTTGAGTCCGGCTGTCATGCCTGTTGACATCCTGGGAAGAATGACAGCTTCCTGTACAGGAGGGTAGAGTTTGACCATGAGACAGAGGCCAAAGTTCACATTGACTATACATTGGAAGAATGTACATTTGGTCAGCAGTTGGACTAGTGTGTGTGTGTGTGTGTGTGTGTGTGTGTGTGTGTGTGTGTGTGTGTGTGTGTGTGTGTGTGTGTGTGTGTGTGTGTGTGTGTGTGTGTGTGTGTGTGTGTGTGTGAGGGAGTGGGTGTGTGTGTGTGTGTGTGTGTGTGTGTGTGTGTGTATGGTCTATTGTGTTCAGAGGAAATGGGTCACATCATGAGTGGAGGCTCCTCTAGGGACAAACTTGCTCTCATCTTCCAAGGGTCCATAAATCTCAGAGGGGAGTCTCATGTTTTGAATAAACCCCTCTTCCTGTTCTCTGACGGGGGACAAGATGTGTGCAGGGGGTTGTCATGGTGAAAGAGTATGACTGTTGCAGCAATCTTTACCTTGGTGAAATCCACACTGAAGCCAGCCTGGCAAAACCCCTGTCCCTCTGGGTCTGGATCATCTGAAAACCACAAAAACATGCATTTCAAACTCTGAAAAAAAGCATCTTATAAGTTAAAATGTTCCAGAACAAAGCGTTACAATCAGATAAAACGTTTTTACAACTGTAAAAAAATAAAGAAAACTCATTACTGTTTCCATAAAGCTGTAGAATCACTGAGGTGCGTTTCTTCGCTGCGTTAAACTGCACATGAACACACAGAATGTATGTGGACATAATAAATTATTCTACAGTTCAGAGGCACCCTGGGGTGAAGCTTAATGATGCGTAACAACACACGTGCACATGTTAGCAAAGTTTGAGTTATTGTAATAGTCTGAGCGGTCGTAGATTATGAATGTTAAGATGAAGCGAAACAGCTGTTGGAGGCAGAAAAATCTTACTTGTACACATAATAAAGAAATGCTTCCTCTCTGTTATTCCCCTTTTGAGAACAATTGAGTTTTCAATGTGATTACTCGAGACGAGATTAACACTAACATAGAGATCTTTAACAAGCTTCCATTACTAGAGGGAGGGTCAGTATGAATCTGTGTGTATGTGAGTGTGACGTTTTTTTTTATGCAGAGCGGATGATGGAGTGGAGGATAAGGGCTGTGTTTGATCTGCTGTTTACGATGTGCCACCTGATAGCCTCCATTTCTCCTTATCGTACTCTGCTGGTGCCTCATATCGCTCTTAAGGGTGAGAGAGGTCGCAGGAAGAAAGTAGAAGAAAAAGATAAAAACTGGAGATGAAGAAGGGGAGGAGGCTAGGAAAATCCCATGAATCCCATTTACAGAACCCATGACAGAAAAATTATGACAGAGAGATAAAAATCAAGCCAACACGTTTACCAGTCTGCTAGCACTACAGGAATGCACATTTCCAGACATATAGGCTTTATTTGGGCAGTTTCTAAGAGAGATTTGGCAAATACACTATGAGTCACAGAGTTTTGTCTTTAAAGGTGGGGTATGTAATTTTGGAGAAACCAGCTCGAGTGCGCTAGAATTTAAAAATACACAAACGGAAAAAAATCTGCCTCTTCCTTACAGAGCCCCTCCTCCAACACACACGAATGCACACATGACCAATGAGGGCACGAGATAAGTTTGTGCACAGATGGAAGGCTGACAGGCAGGTAGGCCATCCAGTTATTTTAGCTGGGCCGGCTCAGATGATTGGTCATGCTTTTTACAGCGCCACGGCTTCCACAGATGACATTTTTTAAATGTATTTATTGTCAAAGCATTTAACATATTCAATTTCTATCAGGATGTTAAGAGCATTCCATGGGATATAACAAAAAGTGTTTCTGAAATAAATTACATACCCCACCTTTAA